GACACACATAGTCTGGATGAGTAGAGTTCCGAAAACCCGGCGGTTGAAACATATATACCGTCTCTTTGAGATCACCATTGAGGAAAGCATTTTTGACGTCTAATTGATGAATTGGCCAAGATTTCGACACGGCAATGCTGAGAACAGTGCGTATGGTTGTCGGTTTAACGACAGGGCTGAAGGTGTCATCGCAATCGATACCTTGTTGTTGAGATTTGCCGTTTGCCACAAGTCGTGCCTTGTACCGAGCGAGGGAGCCATCTGCATGAAATTTATGTCTAAACAGCCACATAGAACGCACAATGTTAGTATCCGGTGGTCTTGGAACCAACCCAAGTACCACTTTTAATAAGAGCATCAAACTCATCTTGCATGGCTTCACGCCAATGAGGATCCGCAAGGGCTAGTGTGTGGGTCTTAGGGACGGGTGAGATGGTAAAAGTGTTAAGATTGAGTATATGTTTCGGTTTGGAAATGCCGTGTTGGCTCCTCGTGGTCATAGAGTGGAGACGAGGTGGTTGTATAGGTTCGATGGGTCTATGTGGTGGTGGCTGTATTGACATTTGGAGAAGATGGCGAAGGATGGGTGACGGGTCTTCGGGTTGATCCAAAAAATCATAGTGGTTATTGGAAGGACCTCCATGGGTGATAAAAGGAAAGCTAGTCTCGTCAAAAATCACATGTCGTGAGATAATGATCTTTCGAGTGATAAGATCAAGGCACCGAAAACCTTTGTGATTGCTCGGGTATCCAAGAAAAATGCAAGGCGGGGACCGAGGTGAGAGTTTGTGAGGCGATGTAGCAAGGAGGTTAGGGTAGCATAAGCATCCTAAGACACGGAGATGGTCATACGAAGGAGGTTTATGATGAAGTAATGTAAACGGGATTTGGTTGTCGACGGATACCGATGGTAAGATGTTGATAAGGTGGACGGCGGTGTGTAGGGCTTCGACCCAATAGGTCGATGGCATGGAAGCTTGAAACAAAAGAGTTCGAATTAGGTTATTCAAGGTGCGGATCATGCGCTCGGCCTTTCCATTTTGTTGGGATGTTTGAGGACAAGAAAAACGAGGTAAAATCCCATGAGAGTCAAAGAAATCCCGAAAAGATGTGTTATCAAATTCTCCCCCGTGATCGCATTGAAAAACTTTGATGTTTTTATTAAATTGTGTACGTACAAAAGAGTGAAAGTGTAAAAATTTGGCAAAAACATCACTTTTGCGGCGAAGAGGATAAACCCAGACAAAATGTGAAAAATGATCAAGAAATAATACGTAATAGTGAATACCACTAATACTGGGTATAGGGGAAGTCCAAATGTCGGAGTGAATGATTTCAAACGAAGATTGAGCCAACGAAAGAGATTTATTGAAAGGTAGTCTAGTATGTTTTCCAAGTTGACAAGCATGACAAATCCGTGCATTGCCATTATTACAACGAAAAAATCCATTCGACAATAAAGACCGAAAAACCGAGTCTCCAGGGTGTCCAAGACGTTGATGCCAAGTGGAACCCGGAGTAAGAAGAGCAAAAGGAATGGTGGAGTGTCGAGCGCGTGGTATGGTAGGTAACATAGGGTAGAGGGAACCCGAGCTATCACATCGGAGCAGTACCATTTGTGTTCGCTGATCCTTCACCGAAAAACCATTAGCATCAAACTCAACCGAACAATTATTATCACGAGTAAACTGTCGAACCGAAATGAGATTTTTGACGATAGATGGTGAGACTAACACGTGGTCTAGTTGAAATGCATGGGTAGGTGTGTGAATAGAAGTATGGCCAGTATGAGTGACAGGGATTTGGGATCCATCACCGACATAAACAGATGGGATGATGCTCGAATTAAAAGTGGTCTCGAGAGTACCTGGTTGCGATGTCAGGTGTGCGGTGGCACCAGTGTCCATGTACCACGATGCGTCGGCGGGATCAGAGATGTGCGTCGCATTAAACGCTTGGATAATACCTGGCGGAGGTGTAAATGAAGTGGGTATCGAGCCATTATCCGGTACTGTAGGTTGGGTTTGAGTCACAAGAGCCTTCTGTGGCGATGAGGTCGGTGTTGGCGATGTAACACCAGAGGAGAAACCAGAAGAAGCGACGATGCCACTGGGAATATATGGGTATGGTGAATAGGGTCCACCATAAGGGGTCTGCCAAGGGATATGTGATGGATATCCTGTGGGATTCCATGGTGGCATGTATGAGTGAATGGGATGTGGAGGATTCCATTGCATCGGAGATGACGACGGGTGGTGTGATTTCCACTGTGCCGGTGAAGACCCGACGTTCCAGCTTTGAGAGTTATTGCGATGCCCCCGATTGCCTCTATTTCCTCGTTCTCGTGATCGGTTGCAGTGATGATATGATGGTTGTGAATGCATCGTAGCTTGATTTGGATGAGATCCGGTGAAGAGGACAGTGGGGGCAGAGCCATTATCCCTATGAGTCGGCTCAGGACGACGATGTCGGAGAAGACGTTGTTCTTCAAGGGATAACATCGATCTTGCTTCATCAAAAGATGGAAAAGGTTTCTGGTGTTGAATAACATTAACAATGTTATCGAACTTGTCAGAAAGACCATTAAGTGTATGCATAACTAAAGCTCTCTCGGATACGGATGCATCGAGGTTGGTCAAAAGATCTGAGATCTTTTTGATCCGTTGGCAGTATTGGTGGACGGACTGATCTCCGATGGTAAGAGTGCGGAGTTCATTGTCGAGTTGAATTGTACGGGCCTCCTTGTTGTCACGAAACAAACGTTCGAGACGTAACCAAATATCATGCGCGGTTGATTTGGTTTTGAGCACATCTTGCAAAAGAGATTTCGAGATGGTTCCATAGATCCAGAGTTTAACAAGACCGTCAACGCGCAACCAATCCTCTGATGGTGCGTCGGTCGTAAGGGCGGAGCCGTCGATGTGGCTCAGAACGCCAAAGCTGAGACAATGGGTCACAAAGATATCACGCCAAGGTTCGTAATTCATTTCCTCCATGTCCAAAATGATTGGAACATGGGATTTGATGTTGGTGATGCCGAAAGGTTTCTCCGAGAAAGACGACATGGCGGCTTGGGTGTGAAAAAAAAGAAAAGAAAATAAAAGTAACGAAAGATTTAGTGGGCAAGCTCTGATACCATGTAATTTGGTAAAATCCTCTGTGTCCTTCATTCTCATTAATCTCAATATTATATAATACATCGATAGAATCTCCAAAAAGATATGGAGATATTGGCAAGTATATCTAGAGAGATATGATAATATTATACAATATACTAACAGATATTAAGGGATACACTAACATACAGTGTTTGTCTGTCTTAAGTTGATTTTGCATAAACCACGAATTTGTTTTGAAAAACGAAATCATGGTATACACCGATTTCATAATTCTGATGACTATGCAGGAAGAGGATACAACAAAGATTGGCATTGTATCAAGGAGTCTATCCCATATACATGGAGTTTACAGATGATGTTGAAGAAACCTTTGCAAAAGCTTTGGATGCATTGATGGTAAAGTTCTAAAGGAACCTTTGTACATACATCATACCATACATATATTTCTTGCATGACATGTTTATGGTTAACACGATGCATTTGGATGGAAGCAGAAGCTAGAAATGATGAAGAAAGGCGAGGATATAGCGATATATAGTTCAAAGCGGGAGGCAACCGATATGGCGATCACAATCCACACACAACATCCAAGTCCGCAAGGTTTAGATCGGTAAACGTATTCCATTGATAAAACTGTTTTTGTTTTCCATATTCTTTTAGTTGAATTTCTCTCTTTGTATAGCTCTTGGTTTCCATGTCGGGTTTAATCTGCTTTATAAGCACGAACACTGTATTAGTTATAGGTTGCTTCTTTAAGACAAGATTCCTTCTTTACGCCACATAGGAAGTGTTTTTAAGTGTTGGTCTTAAAAGTGTAAAGCAGTGTGCAGGTTTCTGAGGTGGTTGTTGCCGAGGAGTTTATGTTAGCAATGGACGTTTGATGAAATCCCCCAACCGATACAGAAATTCGATATTTTGTTGTAATGGCATGCCAATAGGGATTATCATTCTCGATTTACAACAAGTCCATTTTTTATATTCATCCCGCAGAATCCAGGTTGTCGTGAGAGAGATCTATGTTTGAGATCGGGTTTTGTTCGGGTGATTATCTGAGTGATCAGGAGTCAGGAGGGTTTTTCGACTTCCATTTGGAAATTAGGGTTTCAAAATCAATTTGGAAATTTGGGTTTCGTTTATGATTCATAGTTTTGCCTCCGCCAGCCACCCATCCCGTGCATCCCTGCTTCCTTGCTCCACTGGTTGGTCGTATCCGATTCCAAACCTTATCGTTATGTGAATATTTGAGATTCGGATACTCAATTGGGTTCCGTTTCAGGAACAAATTAAATCGAATAATAGTTGATTGGTTCTAATTTAGTTTTTTTTGGTAAAGAGGTTAAATTTATGAACACAAAATTCCCAAGGTTTGTATACAAAACTCGGTTATCAACCGAAGAGACACCAAAAGAGAAAACCCATGCAATTGGAACACGGGACCAAACACGATTGAATATCGAAGCGAAATCATTTTGGATCGATCAACATTAGCTTGTAGTTTGGTATGAATAATAGAACAAATCGTTTTCAAACCGAACCTAAAACCAGAACTGGAAATGCGCTCCTTAAACGAGGTTGGGATCAAAATTGGTAGACCCGGAATCCATGGGCCCGACACCAACAGTGTGCAACAATAAATGGGCTTTTTTGGGATTGATGATTTAGCCCGTGTTGTGCATTTTGTTTTCTTTCGCTATAATTGTCATCCTTATCGCATCTTTCTCCTCGATACACCCATAAAATATAAAAAAATTATCAAAAAACAATTTTACCCTTAAAAACAGAAAAAGGCGAGAATAATCTTAATGAAATAAAATGTGAGAGACACGCATGTGTAGGATAAAAAATCTGCTGAAAATAAAAAGGATTTAGAAAACTAGAATTTTCACTTCAGATTTGAAATTAAAAAAAATGTTGAGAGAAAGAGAAGTTTCGGGAGGGAAATTCAACGAAATCAACTGGAATCAAATAACTGAAAACATTGAGTCTTTTGTAATCCTACTCCGAGTTTTGCTGTGGACTTCTGCATGAGCATGGCGTTTGGTTTTCCATTAAAAGCTTCTTCATTTCTGAATTTGTTTTGCTCTGATATTATAAAACCTCTGGATGGATTTGTTGTGTGAGAGGTAATACGAGGTTCATGCTAACATCTCAATGAACAGGTCCGGTGGCTGAAGACATGTTCCACTGGCAAGCAACTATCATGGGACCCCCTGACAGCCCATATGCCGGTGGAGTATTTTTGGTCACCATTCATTTCCCCCCGGATTATCCTTTCAAGCCTCCGAAGGTGTTTTCTTTTGTCTAGTCTGCTTGGTATGGGGATTTCTTTTGTTCGGTTTTGAGATCTTATGGTGCATTTCTGTTTCACAGGTTTCTTTCAAAACTAAGGTCTTCCACCCGAATATCAACAGCAACGGAAGTATTTGCCTTGATATCCTTAAAGACCAATGGAGCCCTGCCCTTACCATATCCAAGGTTTAAAACTTTTTTTATCTTAACTTGCAAAGTTGTCAAACTCCATGTGTCTTGCCTCTGTTGCTGTTTCAATAGCTTTCACTTAAACATCAGTTAAAGTATCGCGCACACCTTGTTCGCTTGAACACAATGTGCTGGATAAAATATGTTCGGTGTTGTAAGTTTCTACAGGTGTACATTAATTTCGAACACAATGCTTTGAACCTGTCAACAGAACCGTCAGAGTTACGCTTAGTCCGGAAAACCCATTTGGAACCCACCACATTGTATGCTGGATTCGGAGGAACGAGAGTCCAAGTCCCATTATGTAGTAGGGCATTGAACTCGTCAGACATCGCGGAGCGCCATCAGGGATCTTTCATGGCCTGAGTAACACATGTCGGTTCCAAGGCATCAGATGTGGAGAGTGTGGTGGTAAGGGATAATTTTTGGTTTGGTTTGTAGACATTGTTTTTGGAGCGGGTTTTCATTGGATGGAGATTTGCGGGTGTTTCTGTGGTTTGTGGTGCAGATATGGGTGGTCCAATATGTTGCGCCCACAGGTCCCTGGATCGAAACCAGGCTCTGATACTATATGAGTAAAGTATATCATAAAGAATTCTGTATTTCTTCTGATTACATAGATGTCAATATATACAGCAAGACTCAACAGAACAAAGAGGATTTGATGTGGAAAATATTAATAACAGAATCAGTTTGTTCCAGGATTGCAGGAGTTTTGACTTTGAAGAGATTATCTCCTTAACACTTTACAGTGGTTTCTATCTAAACTTTATTCAACAATATTAAACTCTAAAATATAAATAACTACATAATAATGCTCGAAAATTATTGGGTCTTACTAGTATTTCACTTTGTCACCGAATTTTGCCTTAAACAGAGAGAAAAAGGAGGAGAGAAATCATGCGATAGGAGATAGAAAAATGTGTCTTTCTTTTTCCACTTTTTTTTATTTCAAATGCATAAGAATATTTTAGACATTTTACATTTAGGTTGTATGAGTTATTTTACTACAAATGAGGAGTAGATTCTGATAACATTTTTTTTTTTATATTTTCAGGGGTGTATCGTTGAAAGTGTTGCGAAACTTTAGGTGTAATCCTAAAGTTTTCTCCACACGATTCGAAAATATTGCAAAAGTGACTTTAAATGGTACTTTTGACTTCAGGGTAGAACCTTCTAGGTTTAGGGTTTTGAAAAATAAACTAAAATGCAGAAAAGACTATAATACCCTTAAGAATAAGGACGGGTGGCCGCATCTGTTGAAGCCAAAAAAAGAAGAAGGAGTTGGGGGAGTTGTTCGAAAATTTTAAACCCAGAAGGCACTACTCTACTCTCTCTCCATTCCCTCTCTGTTGCGAATCGATTCCCCCATTACAATTTTGTCTTCTATATTTTCCTCTTGCAAAATCTTATTAAGCATAATGACATCTTCATCATCTTCGTATCTTCGTTTGCTGCTTCTGAAGATATGCAGGTAAGACTTTTTTATATCTCTCGCCGATAATCTAGTCGTCGATTTCTCTATTCATACCCCTTCGTCTTTACTTTCTCGTTTCGAATTTCATGTTTCTGCATCGAGATTAAACTGATTTCGTCACATTTATTCGAATCATTTTTGTAAAAAAAAAAAGGGTTTGGGATCGAAAAATGAAAGACAAAGTTTTTTCGAACCGACGAGTGATATTGGCATCGATTTACAGTCACACGGACATATTTCTCGAATTGGTAAAACTGGAAGTCAAGCGGTGAGACAATTGGAAAATGAAGTGGTGAGACAGTCATACCTGTTTTACTAGTTTCATCAAACTCATCAGACCCATGAAGCAAAATGGTCGAACGGCGCATGGTCAGACTAGTGAAAGTGGTTAGACGGTTATATCGATCATACCAGAGAGATCTGACCAGTTTGACATCAAATTGGTCAAACTGGTCACATCTCTCTGGTGTGACTGGTATGACCGATTTTATGTAGGTTAATTTTATAACAAAACTGATGATGGGATTTAATTTTCTTGTTGCATATTCCTTTTGTTTATGTTTTTAAGGACATTCAACATGCTACAAAGATCTCGACGAAGTGTTATTCATTTCAGATCTCTCAGAAAGACTTTAACAAGCGAAGAATGGGTATACTTCAACAAAGAGTCTCAGTTTTGTCGTATTTTTCATATGAGATATGAAGAGACATTGAAGATGGGGTGTCTATCCTTATATATCACAGATTATGATTAGAAGGAGAGGAGAACGAGTTATGGTTTGTTGTAAATGACATGCCCATCAGATATTCAATCCAAGAGCATATCATTATCTCTGGTCTAAACTGTGATAAGTATTCAGAAGATTGAGTTGAACGTAAAGGAAACGGGTTTCGGATAAAAACATTCGGAATTTCTAAGGTGACAATAGCAAGCGCGATAAAGAAATTGCACGACACTCCACACGCAACATATGGAGGAAAGAAAGAGATTAACAATAATTATATTGCTTGGTGGAGTAAGAAACCATGGTGTCAAAAGTAATGATGTGATAAACAATGACTTATTTGACATGGTCGATCGTCTGAATTTTTGCGGAGGGTTTCCGTGAGAGAGATATACCTTCGAAAAGATTAATAATCAATTACGTAAGTTGTATAGAAGCGGTCCTAAACCATCTATAATTTGTATCATATTACCCTAGTTTTACTCTTAAAATCAGGACTCGAAATATTACTGTTCTTCAAAAGATCTACACAAATCACAGCACCATATAGTACATGTGATGGATTTCGGATCTTACTTATTATCGATACCTTTGTTTATAGAATGAATTTTCTGGAGATTTCACAAGTTTTGCGTAACAAATGAGTCCAGAAACAGGATGTGGAGAAGAGAAGTCGAAAAGAGAGAAAACTCGTTAGATACAAATGAGAGAGAGCTCACGAAAGAAGACGAGAGAGAAAATAGAGAGAACATAGATTTTTTTAATATATAAATAAATAAATAAAAAATCAAACTGATATTATTATTATTTTTTTAAAAGTAGGTTTTGAATGGGATGAGTTTTATTTTGGGTTTTTAGTTTTAGTTTTTGAATTTTGGTTTTTAGTTTTTAGTTTTTGACTTTTGGATTCTATAATATTTAAAATAGGGGTGGGCGTTTCGGGTTTCGATTCGGTATTCAAGCGGTTCGGTTCGGGAACGGTATTTTCGGTTTTATAAAAAGTGTACCAAACTAGAACCGAATGTTAAACGGTTCGGTTCGGTTCGGTTTTAGTATCGGTTCGGTTCGGAACGATACCATTATATGAATACCAAATAAGTACCGAACTATAATATTTACACATATATTAGTGGAATATTCGAATTTTGGTTCGGTATTCATACGGTTCGGTTCGGTATTCATACGGTTCGGTTCGGGAACGGTTCATTCGGTTCCATAAAAAGTGTACCAAATTAGAACCAAACGTTATTCGGTTCGGTTCGATATGGTTCGGTTTCGGGACGGATTGGGTCGGTACTAAATTCCCGAACCGAAGTGTCCACCCCTAATTTAAAAACTAAAATAAAATATCTTTTGATTTTTTTTTTGATTTTCCACTAAAATAGTTTTCCAAATTTTTAGAAAAAGTAATTTTGTGAAAATTTGAATGATAATTTTTTTAGTTTTCGGATTTTAAAAACTCTAAAAACTCAGTCTTCGAAGTAAAAATGATATTTAAATTCATTTTACGAATGCCCGGCACGATTCTCGTCTAAAAGCTGTTGAAAGATAAAACCTCCCCCCTCTCCTAGTTCAAAATCCTCCTTGCTACCATGTTCGTTTTCCCTTCCAGCAATCTTATTTGCTAGATTTTTCCAGGAAAATCCGAAAATTTCTCGGAATCTGTATCATGACCTCTGCACCACCGTTCAATTTCATCAGTTCCAGTGTCCTATTTTCTCGGAGATCGGTCCCCGCGAAATCTGTTCGCATTTCGAGCTTCGTTTTTGCGAGAGGAGCGTACGAGATATCCTTTTCCTTCACCGTCCCGAAAGAAAGCCCTAAGCGTAGTTTCCTCGAAATCGTCCGACGGTGGGGAGTTGTCGGAAAGAGAAGAGGAGTGGCTGAAGAAGCTGCCGGAGAAGGAAGCCCTTGTATTCCCACAGCCTGCCCTGCATCGAGGCGTGGCTGAAGAACCTAGGGTTTTACCGGAGCAAAGACGATAGGGCTGTTTGGCTGATTCAGAAACCCGACTGGCACGCCCAGTTATCACTTGACGTCACCGCTCTCTGCATCAGGTGTGCTACTCTCGCCATCTCTCTGACGAGTAGAAGATTTCCCACAAGGGACGGAGTGAGAGTCTTAGTTAATGTGAGGATTTAATCCCTCACCAATAAGAGTGCATTATTATGGATACTGAATTGTCTCAGGTCAAGAATCGTAATAGATTTCTAAAAGGGCCTCTTCTATGCCAGCAAATGCCAATGACTGCATGATAGATGAATCTCCGTACAGTTGAGGGAACTGGCTTTTATGATCCACAGTGGGTGCTTGGGAACTTGTTTATTGGGCGGGCAAAGGTTTGATCTCTGCATTGCTGGAGTTTAATAGAATGGAGCATCTGGATTCCTTGTATTGCCCTTCAAGGATGGAGCCTTTCTTTAGTGGATGGAAATGATGATGGCAGGCACTTGAAAAGCGGGCCGGGAGATCTGGAGAGAGACATGGAAAGGAGGTTCAGCTACGCTTTGAGCTGGGAAGACTTACAGAACGCCATTCTCGGCGGACCCTTTAAAGGTCTTCATATGTATATATATGAACACCTTTTGAGGAAACCCCAAACTGCCCATTGATTTCTACTACTTGCGCTTCGTACTTGAATTGAAGAATGACAAACATAAAACTGAAAACCAAAGTAACGGTCCCTATCACGTTTCATGTGCACACCAGATTGTACCTTTATAGCCAAAGATTTATACATAGGGATCTAATGCTTCTTATCTTTCCCAAAAGGACAATAAAATAAAGACGGGGAATTGGCCAATAACTAAAAACACTTTTTATACACAGAATGTGCCGATGACTAGTGTGGATCAAGAAGAGCCGTGGAGCAGGTGTGCCAGTGCCTTGTCCGTGTCGTTTTCATGCATGAAGAGAGCTTCCGCTATGGCGTTCGCCGGAAATCCCATCTCCGTTAGCAGTGTGAAGCCTTTGGCAAACTCCTGCACCTGAGGAAAACGTGCCAGAAATTATTAACCAAACGTTTGTTCCAGAGAATTCGTGCTTTGCATTGTTACCTTTAAAAGACCAGTTTCGTCGGGCTTTCAGC